GAGAACAAGGACTCGTCAATTTTTTACGGCCAGCTCTTCGCCACCGACGACGGCCGATCCGTGCTTGATGACGCTATCCGCACAAATGTCTCTCATGAATTGAACCAATCGACCACGGTCTGTCACCGCGATGCCCAGTGAGGTGTGGCAGAGCTCAATGGCAGTCTTCTCGTATGCCCACATATAGAGGAAGGTGACGCCACGCGGAACCTCATGTTAGAGTTCCCGAAGAATGTGCCCTCCCGAAGTCCCTTGCTCGTACGACATTTGGCTTTGTTGCATAGCCAAGGAAGATTCTCTCCGAAGCTTGCCTTTATCTCGTGGCCATTAGCGCAAATTCTCGAGTTATGCACCACTCCTTAGCTCTGCAGGAAAGCGAGAGCGGTTTCTAACGTCTCGGATTCTGTCCATGAAATCCAGTAGCAGCATCTTGTTACTTCTGTTCTCTAGACGCAAGAACTGCGTTGGCCGTGTCCTTTCTCAGCAGTGGGTGCTTGGTGTAGTGTGCAGAGAAACCGATGGCGATGTTCATGCAGCCGGAGAACAAAGCCTAATTGATATTGATTTTGACTTATACGCTCGGAGAGCAGGAATGAAGACATTCGACAACAGCATCACCTGATTTTTATAGTAAAGTATGAGTTCAAAAATGAGATAGGATTCTAGAAAACATCCTTTACGTCTTCCAAGTGATACGTTGAAGATTTTCTGCCAGTTTTTTCCCGCATTCCATAAACCCATTGCTGAATGAGACTAATGAAGAAGTGCTGGTTGCAGTAAATATCCTATTACAGAGTGAAATATCCTCTCTAGAGGGCACAAAGTTCAAGAAATTATTTGCTTCCGCCTTTCGATCGAGATATCAGAATTCGCAATGAGTCTCAACCGATAACGCAATCTAGGAATATTGAGTGATTTGCAGAACTTTGAAGCTCGGCAGGATCGAACCCTCGTTTCGTCGTTATCTCATGCGCGCGCTGCCACTACACCAGCAGGACCACCTCTGCGCTGCCACTCTTTCCTTCCTACAAGGTGTCGTGGCTGTCAGCAGCCATAACATGCTCCCAAAGGACGGTGTTCGATTGGAGCGCGATATCTATAAGTACTCGTTTCAGTGTGTATTCTTAGTTGGACCCAAAGAGGATGGAAGTCTCGTCTATCGTTCTGCACTACGCTTCCAACTCCTATGAACTTCAGTGGTCGAGAAATTCTCCTTAGTTCAGCGTGATCTACAGCCGATCAACTCATGGGTGCGGTCCGTCTGCTCTACGGCCAATCGATATCGCCGCGGCGAATTTTCCCGCTGGTGGTCCCTTCAGTGGTGAATTTCGTCAGCGCCATTGTAGTTCCGCTCTTTGCATTTTCTCTCTTTCCTTTCTCTGAAAAAGCTCTCCACGTCTCTTTCAATATTTCTTTGATTATGTGAATAAACTCAGCGACAGTGTAAAGCCAGGCAGTCTTATTTTCAATCAATACCTTCTCATCCTCGCATTGTTTCGACTTCCATTCCCTCTGAGAGAAGTTTTTTTCCATTCGTGGTTTCTCCTTCTTCAGTAAGGTGTGAGTTCTACAACAAAATATTGTAAATACAACTCTAAATATCGGAAACTATGAACGAAAAATGAAAGAGACTGAAATACGCGTTGGGGACGGCGTTTGATAATGGCCCACACAGGGACGAGCCCAATTTTCGTTGTTTAAATGAGGTTTTTCCTCCATTTCGGGAAAATCTCTGGATTTTTTTTTTGTGTTCCTGTGATACCCACGATATCCTCTACATATTCATATGCTCTTGGTGCATATTATACATCACATTTGCGGAGAAAACTCTGTAGATCAAAAGTAATTTTTTTCCTATTTCCAACGCAATATAACGATCTTCTTGAATGTTAAGCGATATTTTAGATTTCTAAAATATCGAATGACTATTGAAAATCTCAGAAAAACCTATCTAGAGGCTCCAGCCGAGCAAGGAAATAAATTCAGTGTGAAATATAGTATTATTTTTGTTACAACGACGCATCGAAAGGGTTTTCTCTAAAATAAAGCTTATTTTTGGAATCGTCAATTTTCCATCCATTGAATAGTTATCAAAACCTTGCTAGAGGGTTTCAGTCCGCTGAGAAAACTAAGGAAACTCTTGTGCATCCCATTGAATGCACTCCGTCCCCAAAGGGTCAGAAGAGCTAGGAGAAGGAAAGGAAAGACGCAGTGAGTTGATAAAGATTTCAGAAAAACTGGTCCTTTTTCCTTCCTCCAAGTTTTATTTTCTGTTCATAATTCTTATTAAAATTATATTTACAAGATCCCATTATCACAACGAATTTTAATCTAGATAAACTTCTAATTTCAATCTCATTTCAGCCATTTTTAGAGATTGGCGTCAGAAGCATCACTCAGAAAATACTCAGCTGTACTTTGATGCTTTTGTTTCGAGCATGTCCATTCGGCCTGATAATCCAGAAGACGAAGATGTAGACGACGAAATGATTGATTGGTTGTACAATCAATGTTGTGGGCCTGACAATAATGAAGAGGCTGCAGGAGACGCAACTTTTCCACAGGATACAATGGTGGCAGGTGACAGCTATTTGGTGAACCAGCTGTCAGAAGAGCTGTATAACGACCCGCATCAACTCAATGAGCTCTATGATATTGAACAGGTATGTTCGTAGATTTTCGGCCCTCGAAAATATTGTTTTTCCAATGCAAAGCTTATGAGCACGTGTGGCGCAGTGGTTAGAGATATTTTGTGACGCAGATTGCATCGATCAGCTGCTTGTGGATGGCTCGATCCCGCGTCCGAGGATCACTAAACTATCCATGCTTCCGGATCGGTTGACTGGTTTCAGACTTGTATAAATGGCTGACTCGATAGTAGCACTGAGCTGATACATTGATAGACGACCTCAAGCCCTCGTAAAGGCCACATGTGCATTCAATCACCTCGAATACTGCTACGAATGGAGTCGAATGCATAGCGCATTCCTTACGGATTACTCTGCGCTATCAATCTCTATTGAATCAGACTTTTCATTCTTTACTCATCCGTCAAAGATGCTCTTTTGCAGCAGTTAGATTGGCTCGAGGAAAATTCTCTCCTCACTGATGCGTGGATGGGCTTGGGATCTATGGGAGATCCTGATGAAGTACGTCAAGTAGCGACTGATAAGACTGCCATGGGCGATCTATTCGAAGCGACTGTAGAATCTGACCAATCGACATCAGAGCCACGTCGTCCGTCATGCACAGAATTGGAAGGTGAAATCATCATCAATCCTGTTCAGGTTCGTTATTTTATGGAATGAGAGCAGCTTTCAATTAAGAATGATTGTCTTGCACAGAATCATTTCTATGACTTACAGGAAGTTGAAGAGTTTGCGTGGGATGGCTCTGGGCCGGAGGACCACGAGTACTACATCGGAGATCCAAACGAGAGAGCAGCTCTTCTCTCCGGAGAAGATTGGGCAGAGCATTCTCGGCCGCCAACATCAGTTCAGCGACGTGAGTATTGTACAAGTAATCCCATCAGAATCGTTTCCTTTATGATTTAGCTAGAAGTTTCATATTTACATACTTTTTCCTTTAGTACTTATCAAGTCCCTCCATAAGTTTTGACACTAGAACAATAAACGCAAATTTATCAACCAGAAGTCAATCAAATTTCATGATTTTGGTATCGTTCGATTGCGCTTTTTCTTGCCAGTATTCTGGTATGCAACTTGCCTATGCTTGCCTTTGGCTGAATTGTCTTGGGAACAAATTTCACTTGCTACTCATGCACGAATGATGCGTAAAGGAAAATGCTAGTGAAGCCGTGCGCAAGATCAATGGAGTATAAGTCGATGGCACGGTTGCAGGAAGGACGGCGAAGAAGTGGTTCAACGAAAAAAAGAGCTAGGAAGAACAATCTCAGAGATCAGCCACACTCGGGCGTCCACACGATGCTACATTAATATCGAAAGCCGCCTTACTAGCATTTTTCCTTACGTGGCATTTTTGCTGAATAGCAAGTGAATTTGTTCACACGACAGCCCTATCTCTAAGCAAGTATAGGCAAGTTGTATACCTGAACGCTCACAAGAAAATGCGTACATTTGAACGACATCAGAGTTGTGCAGCTTTGATTACTTCTAGTAGACAAATTTGGTGTATACTGCTCTAGTGCCAAAACTTATGGATCGACCTAACAGCCTCTCCAAAAAAAAAATCTCTCAAAGTTTTTCTGTTCTTTTCTGTTAGGCGGCGGCAAATAAATATTCAATCCCATTTGCTAGATAAGATATTGGTAGGAGTGTTAGCAGTTGCTTAAAAGCTTAGATCTCTTGCCATAGGCTTGCGTGGCTGGTTTCTCAAAACACCTTCCTATGACGCTGTAAAATCCAAAATGATACTATGTTACACGGCCGCGCACACCTTCATTTTCATCACGCCTACAATTCGCTGGAAGCACGAAAATCACATAAACGTATAAAGGAAATTTCGTTGTATCTAACTAAATTTTTTATCGGGAGTTTCTTTCAAAGCGCGAAAAAGTGCCCAATTGAGTTTACGCTATCGAATAATTACCAGTAGTCTGAAAAAGAGCTTGATCCGGCGAGGTTCAAAGCGCAGATACTTTCTTCCTCCTACAGCGCTATCAAAAGAGCTTTTCTAAAGAGCAAATATTTTTAGTTTTTCGAAATTTGGGCTATCAAAACACTATGAGCAGCCTGAGGGAGGTGTTTTGCCCAGAGAAAGCAAAGAATTGGCCACCCGAACATATTGAATCGGATTTAATGTTGATCTCTCCGAGTGCCGATGTTGTTTGTGAGGATTAATGATTTCAGGCATTAACTGGTAGTTCTGTGTTGAATTTAAAAGTGACCGGAAGCAGTAGTTGAAGGTTGCAAATGCTTTGTGGTTCTCATCGTCGCTCTCTGATTGTCCGTTTATCACTTTGGTTGTACGAAAATTTGCAAAGTATAAAGTTTGAGCGAACTGCATGGTGAGCAAAAACAAGGCCTCAGACGGGAATCGAATCCGCGTTTCATCCTTACTGAAGACGCGTGCTCTACCACTACACCACCGAGCTACATTCGCGTCAACACTCACTCTTCAACATCTCTATGTTAGCTATCAGCCACCAACCTTTGACAGGCTTGGTCGGGTATGCGATTCCACTGTATGAACCCAGTTGAGCTGACAGCCGGTGCCTTGTTGGTGTAGTGGTAGAGTACGCGTTTCCAGTAAGGATGAAACGCCGGTTCGATTCCCGTCTGAGGCCGTGTTGTTGCTCACCACTCAGTTCACCTAGGAATATATGAACCATCATAGCATTGCGAAAAATGCAGTAAAAATACTAGAACTTTCGAATAAGGTTTGAGCTTTGTTCTGAAGCCTGGCCCTACTAACTGAGCTGATCTAAATGGCTGGTTCATGGTAATTGTAACCGTTGGAATGGTTATTCTCCCTGCCAAGTTACTCGATTGTTTCCGTTCCTATTCTCCTCTGCACATGTTGTTAGGTGTTTGGCACATGTTTTTATGAGTGCTTTTTTTATGTGTCATGGATGAGAGGAAAGGTGGTGTAGTGGTACAATTTCCTAGTTGGCTTGCAGTGCCTTTCTGTGGTATAGCCACTTCCTGAGAGTTTTACTTGGGTGTTTAAAAATGGTAGCCAATCCGCTTTTGGACTTTCTCACGTGGATTCAATAAATCCTAATTGTCCATATGAAATGCCTAAATATCTGCCCATTTCCTCTTGTGTGGAACAGACAATGAAGCAATCGTCTATATATCGGCAGCAGAGTAGGTACCTGCGAGCGAAAAGTAGAGCTTCTACTTCACAAGCGGGATAAGAAAAAATACGCATAGTCGCGGGCAACATAATTTTATTTGGATATTACAGCGTTGTAGAAGGGTTTTTTGAAAAGGCGGCTACGTATGGCTTAAGCCCGAGATTTGAGCTTTCGAATGGTTATAACACTCCCATGTAAATCCTTGTCCAGTGAATGAGATCGACTATTTATTTGTTGCCTTCTAACTAGAAAGCACCGTTTTTCTGTTTTGTTTGCGTGTTCAAAGCTATATCAACTTTTTGGACCATATTTACGTTAGAATTTCAGATAGAATTTTGGCATCATTTATTGTTAGAAATAGAAACTTACCTTGCCCGTTAGTTTTTTCACCGTCGCAACGCATGCGGCCTTCTCAGAGTTTCGTTATGATCACCATAAATATCGTTCATTCCACCCCAACTATGTATATCCCTTTGCGGACGGCAGCGTAATCGAAATCTCCAGTGGTGTGCAATTTTCATTTCTCAAAAGTGATTTTTTTCTTTGTTTCAGAGATTACTTTGCGTTCCTTCTACCGCTGAAATAGATCATGATTTTCTCTACAAGACTGTGAACCATTTTTGCATATTTGATCCCTATTTGTGAAAAAAAATCCGAATGTGAAACGTAATTCTATTTTCGCTGTCACAGTGCCCGATAAAAATTCTTTCAAGAACTACACATAAAACTAAATTCACGAAGATTTGAGCTATCGAATGAACTTAAGGTAGTCCAATAGAAAGCAATCAACCGACGTTATGGGAGTATATAAGGTGTGAAATATAATTTTATTTTTGCTGCTACATATTACTACAAAGGTTTATTTGAAAACCAAGCAAGGTATCGAAATCCCTGAGATTTGAGCTTTCAAATTGATTGATCTTACAGCTTGAGAACTGTATGGGTCGTATAGACCCATGCGCGTTTCGCGCACCAGAATTTTCTACGACGCGCATGTAAGAAGTGGAAATGCGTGAAAAGGATTAGTTGCTAAAATAGGGTTTTGAAACAACTTAAGTGCTATCCAATGGCAAAAAATTGCAAAGAGATCCCTGCAAATGTTTCCATGTGTTTTCTGATTCAATGAAGGCCCATGTGCTAAATATTGAACTAGTTTTCAACAGGATCAAGCACATCTCAAAAACAAACACAATTCCAACATTTATTTAACAGTTGTTTCTGTTTTTTGGGTGTGTTTTATAGTCGTTTGATAGCTTGAGGAACCGCAATGCTGAAATATGTTAATCTTTGAGCTTGATGCTACGTTTTCCTCCTAACCAATAAAATAGAACGTTTTAGAATTATGATTTGAAGATAATTGCATGGCGCTACCCTCAGAGATTCTTCGACCCAAGAGCTTCATCCTTCAAATTCATGCTCTTGGAGTACGTTGTTTCAACTCCACGCGGAGATTGTTCAATATCATGGAATAGAATTTGGATTCTAAGCATGCTTCATCACTACGAATGAATGAATATTACTGGAATGAGTTCTATAAGCGGATTTTCGTTGAAGGAAAGCCCATGTCCTAAAGATTTGTACTTTTCAGAAAGTTGGATATATGGGAAGTTGACAATATAAGTTTGCTGGCTCCTTGGATGTGAACATAATGTCGTTTGAGCACCTGAAGGATTTGCTCTTCACATAGGAATTGGGGGACCATTCGTATTCCACACTCTGTTCCGACCTTTTGAGGAAATGCGTATCCTGATTAGGTTTAGAGTTGTATTGATAGCTCAAATCACGGAAATTTCAATGATGTATAGAGCATAATGCTAAGAGCTCTAGGCGTTGATCAATTCTGGAGATGCGCCATGCAATCGTCTTCAAATTTCAATTTCATTTGAGGTGATTGAATGCATATCTGGCCTTTACAATAAGTGGCGATGACCTCCCTCCGTATCAAGTCAGTGCTGCTTATGATCCCAGACAAGTCTGCGACCAGTGCGGCACCAATTTACCAACCTCGACAAGATGGTCGGCTTTGTGAGCGATGAGCGCGAGATCGAACCATCGTCCTTGTGAGCGACGTAGCGCACCTCTAACCACTGCGCCATATGCGTTCTTTCAATGATGCATATTGTTTCAAAAATGTCTAGTTATTCCGTTCCTATATCAAAAATAAAGTAATGTTTCACGCCCAAACACTTTCGCTAGGTAGAGCTTTCCCTAGTAATTCCAATATATATTGATAGCTCGTTTTTTTTGAAGGAATTTCTCATTGCGCTGTAGCAGACAATAAAAGGGCTGGTCCCACAAATCTGGATCATTTTCGTTTTCCGCACCCTAATTTGGGCTGTTGAGAAAAACGCATTTTTTGACTTTTCTGAGAATTTCAGCGACCATTCAATAGCTCAGATCTCGAAAATTTTGAAAATCCACTTAAGTTTCGAAGTGACCTTTATAATGCGCTGCAACAGCCGAAAGAAAATTATGTTTCGCACCCAATCATTTTTTGCTGTTCCAAACTTTTCCTTCAGCTTTTTAGCAATCAATCGATAGATCATTTTTGACAATTATAACCAAGTACTTAGTTTTTTCGAAAAACTGTTTAAAACTCTGTAACGGTCAAGAAATATAAATTGGTTATTGCACCTGTCGCACATTTTTTGCCCTGTTAGGCACTTGCGATCGATCGCGTAGCGCGAGTTGAAGAAACCTTTCAGAGAAATAAAGTATACCAAAGTTCTTATGATCTGAGCTCTTGAAAGACTACCAAAGCTCTTGCAAAAATTGAAAGAGGTGCTTTACTGAAGTGTTCGAAAAAAGAGCGTGTCATGAACGAGTAGCGAAATAAATCATAAACCTGAGTGAAATACGGAAAAATTCTAATGGTAAAGCATAAAATTGATAAATAGTAGTGCAGACTAGAACCTTTTGTGAGCATCGATCTCTCTACAAAAATGTGGAGCTCTAGAAAAAGCAGTGACATTAATTACAGGTTGCAGGGATGAAGCGATCTTCAATGGAGCATTAGTGATTTTATGAAAGTTTCCACTCACAAGACAATAGAACAACGTCTCTTCTACAACTCTTAGAAGTTCTGACTCTTGAAGTCCACTGATTCTTGAAAGTTTTTGAGTTATGGCTAAAATGGGACCACGTTGCAATTTGCAATTCATTTTTAACGAACAATTCGCTGTTTTATGATTTCTTTGGTTGATTGCTTTAAATGATTGATTGTTCCAACCAAATATAACCTTACTGAAGTCTATTCTGTCACAGTTTCTATTTCAATGATCATTAAACTCCCTTGAGTAACGATAAGAATCAGAATTTTAATGCGAAACTACTACACTGTCACTGAATACAACCGGCGCTCGCTACCTACAGCGCAAAATTGTAATTCAAGAGATTGAGTTTAGATAAAAAGCCTCGTATAGCGAAAAACCCTCTGAGAATTTGAGGGTTGTAATGGTTTCCATCGTCCTCAAAGGGATAAATAGATGTAAATTATTTCAAATAAGTATCAACGATAGCTGCATTTTACTCGTGAAGCAAAATCAGAGCATTAAGATATGGAGTCACTGGATTATATCCATTATCTTGGCAGCAATCATCACATAAGATGAATTCTTTACCTACTCTTGAAACGAATAGATTAAGCGGTTATTTTTCACAGAAATGGGCAGCAAACATGTGCTCTTTCTAAAATCCTAGTAATCCCTAAAGGGAAAAAAAAACGAACTAAATGGGAAAAAAAGTGAGGAAAAAGTGTTTATAACGAAAATTCGGAAGAAAGAAAACTATACGTACGCGTCTATTTTCCAACAGAGACCGCTCCTATCTATGAAATATTTACAGTTATCGCTTTTAGCCGAGGTATGATGTTACAAATAAAGTTTTTTTTTGTTGCGCGTCGGCAAAAGAACACTCGATCCATTTGCTACACAAGAATTTTTCATAGGAGTGTTATTCCACCATCCGGAGGCTTATACCTCTGGCTAGAATTGCACGTTATCGGTCTTTGAAAACAGGCTTTTATAACACTGTAAAATTGAAAATAAAATTATGTTCCACACACACGGTGTTGCTTCATTTTGATCACGCGTATAACGCTGGATGCACAAAAAGCATTTGATCGTGTAGAGAAAATTTTGTAGAGCCAACCGTTTTATCTGGAATTTCTTTCATAGAAGAGAATTAATGAATAACAAGTTACAATCCACATGTCTAACACTTTGAGCCATCGCTCAATGGTTCCGCCTCCCAAATCGTAGATTAGCTTGTAAACAAGCTCGCCGAATATGTGAAAC